TTCCCTCCCTTTCTTTTTTTGTCCCAAAATATATTTAGACTTCTAATCCTTTCACCAAAATATGTTTCCAAGCATTGGATATACTTAATAAAGATGCCTTCCTTTCTTTCAATCCAATATATGGATTCAACTGGAATTTAAATTTTACTGCTAAAACTGTGGGAAAGTATGAGACCAATGCTAGTGCCTGCTTTTCCATCATTTATTCAGCTTATCTATTAATTCCTTTTTTGAGTTAGTTATTCAACTAGTAAATTTACTTAGTTGCTCTATTGATCAGTCTACTTTCTCTGGCATATCTAGTAAACATCACTAGCTATATTTGGAAAAATCTCAAGGTGTACTGAATTGGGTATATCTGTATCATACAAGAAAATAAGGTAATTAGGCCATGGACTCCTATCTCCTGCATCAGTGATACATTTGTGGAAGGTTTCTAATGGCTTCAGAGAGTCCTAGACTAAAAATGTGAACTCTGCTTCTAGAATGACATTCAAGATAGTGGTGCAGAAAATGATTAGTACCCACAGGCAAGTTGAATACCTATTAGAGTAAAAATATAAAGCCAAACCCAAACAAAACTGTACCCTCTGGGCATTTTATAACTGAACATTCCCATCATTTTTGTCATTCACCTTCACTATACAATCCCAGTTAAAATGCCATGAAGCTTAAAACAGCAGTTTCTGTATTTAAAACAAATTTTTAAAAATAAGGCTTAAACATCATCAGTCCTTGGAAAACAAAATGTGGAAAAAAGTTTCAACTAGGTGAAGGACAGCAGGTGGCAGGGGCTAACAGGTCAAAGCTATATGCTGCATCAAAGTAAAATTAAATATCAGGTTAGCTATCCCTAGTACTTGAAATAAAAAGCACATTTGCTTTAACTATTTCAATTATATGGATATTTAAAAATATATGTATATATACATACAGACACACACACATATCTGTCTTGCAATATTACTTAGCCTGATAAATATATTTTTATGTCATTTTTCTGATAAATATCCTATATTTATGAAGCATATAAAGACAATGTTTTGATAAAATGGCTGGTTCAGGGTTCCTGGAAGCATGTAGGAAGGAACACAATAAAATCATTCTAACAGGTTGATATGCCTCCCTAATTACTGAGGAAAAGAAAGCCTACGGAGAGAATCAATATCCATTACTTTACACTTAAAAATAATCTTTACTAGAACCTTTTGGTAAAATTACAATCATTTCATCAGTAGTTGGGAAGTCATGATAATATTATGGCTGGCTTTTCCCACTCTTTTTTTTTTTACACTGCCAGAAAAAAAGGCATTTAATTTAATTTATATAACTCATTGCCAGTAAAAGGTTATTTTTAAAAATGCCATATTAGTAACTCCAGGATTTGTCAAAGAACATCATAATGAAAAGTGATTAGCATGATGGCTTACCTCCTAAGAATATTGCCGCGAAAGCGAGCTGGAAGATGCTGTAGATGAGTGGGAAGGTAAACACCTGATTGAGCTCCTCAAAGGTGAAGGAGAGCTGGACTACGGTGGAACACAGCTGAGTGTTCTGCATTCCTGTTTCCAAAGCAACTGTGCGGCACCTACAAGTAATGTTAAGAGAATATACGTTTTTATTGATCATTTGTTTTGCTTTGCTTTGTTATGGTATTACATTAAAAGCAAATATAATGAGAAAAAGTACACATATATATGTCTGCTTTTAATATATTTATTCAATATATAATTGTATTCAACATATATTGTTATATTATATAAATAAACATTTTCTCTCCATGTACATATATTTACATAGATAAAATCTTGCCCCAGTCATCTTTTATGATTGTTGTGATAAGTATAAAATGGATATAAAACTCTACAAAAGTTAAAAAGTCATATGCAAGTAAAAGCCGTGGTGGTGTGTTTTTTTTCCTTTTCACATTAAAAAAACACAGAGATTATAACATCTTTTCGTCCAGGGAAACAAATAATACCAAATAGCTTATTTTGCTTCCTGAGCAATGAAATATATCTATATCTATATATCATCTACATCTGTGTGTGTGTGTGAGTGTGCATATGTATATACACACACACACATAGAGAATATTTATATATTTAACAGATAATAATTATTAACAAGTAATTTGTATTTAATATAAATAAAAGTATATATTGAATAAATATATTACATTAAAGGCAGGTACATATAAATAAAAAATATATATATAAAGAGAGCAACTCATTTATATTAGTGTTCCATAAAAGGCAGAGCGGGGTCATTTCACTCTATTCCAGGTGTGCCCCAAGAATTTTTAAACCGTGCAGCACCTGACTGTGCAGTCAGGGGCCCTGACCTCCTTTTCCTTAGATTGTCCAATTAAAAAATGACAAGAGCCAACACAACAGTAGTGGTCTTGTGTGAATGAATCAAAATTATACCTCTTTTTGTGTCAGACTGGCAAAACATATTACGTATTTTTTGGTGTGCTGCAGAATTTTAGTAGTTAGTTTATATGTGCCATGAGATGAAAAAGCCTGAAATCACTGCTCTATCCCAAACGTGCATGGTAACAGAGCAGAGCACAGAGCGGGAGCTGAGGAAACAGTCAAGGTAGAATATTTGTTATAGTTGTTTTATTGTTAAATTCATTTTGTTTTTAATCATTTAGCCTTGATTAAAAAAAAATAAATCTGCAAGGCAGGTGTTCCTATCCCCATTCTACAGATGAGAAAAGTCAGAGAAAGAATAAGTGCCTGGCCTGAGGTCCCATAGCTGGTAAGTGGTGGGTAGGAGTGCAAACCCAGGCCACCCAGACTCATGCCGCACACTCCCCGCTGTTCAGGGCTGCTCATCTCTTTCCCAGCTTCACATACTACCAGTGTTGTTCTCTGCCATTGATTCAGACAGGCTAGCAGGAGAGGAAATGTTTTCTTTCAGTATCAAAGCTGTACATGCTAAACCCCAGTCGGCACCTTTGGGTGATGAGTTCACCCTGCTGTTGGCTAGAGAAACCCTCTCATATTACGAGGCCGACCTCAGTGCTTTTGTGGAAGGTACTTTGCCTGGAGAGTAAAATGCAAGACAGTGGAAGAGCTCAACCTGCACTGTATAGGGAATGGCCCAGAAGAATTTCAGCAAAACAGAGGTAGTCAGTATTTTCTTTCAGGGAGACTTACATAATTTAGGAATGAATGAGTCAATTTAGAATGACAAATTTAGAAATAGGATAAATGTTATTACAGGTGAAAGGTTTTGAACTTGTCATCAGTATTTACAGCTGCTATGGGTTGAACTGTATCCTCCTGAATGTGACCTTATTTGGAAAAAGGGTCATTGCAGATATAATTAGTTAAGATAAGGTGATTAGGGTGCACCCTAACCCAATATGACTGGGGAAATTTGGACACAGAGACACACACTGAAGGAAGACAATGTGAAGAAAAATGGGAGAAGATGGTAGTCTACAAGCCAAGGAGAAAGGCTTGGGACTGACTCCCCCTCACATCCCTCAGAAGGAACCAATGCTGCTATGCATCTGGCCTCCAGAACTATGAGGCAATACATTTCTGTGATTTAGGCAAGCCCGTCTGGGGTACTTTGATACAGCAGCACTAGCAAACTAAAAACAGCTCCTACAGAAAAGCATTCCCAGTCAGCTCTACCAAAATACCGTACCTGTGCCAGGGCTGACCAGCTATCCTAGCCATAAGAAACCCTAGAGAGTAACCAGCCACAGGAAATATTGTTCCTATAATCCACAGCTTGGGGGCGATGATCCAGGCAGCTTGGTACAGTATTCCTCCCACCACAGCGATGAGCACGATAAGGACTGCACCTGTGATGGACCCAATCTGGAAGGAAGACACAAGCAGACCCGACAGTCATGACAGTGAAGTGACCTCTCAGTGTGTTCCTCACCTGATGGCTGTGGTCAGCCCACCAGAAATGCTGGTGCTTGTCTCACATTTTAATTTTTAGGAAAATAACAGGACATATAGTGTCTGTGCCTGATTAGCCTGAAAACGGTGTTGTAGCTTGTAAACCATCCCTGCCAGAGGGGAAGAAAACCCCTTCAATAAATGCTAGAAGACCTGGCTCCCAGACTCCACTCCTTCTGCTCTCCTTGTTTTGATTAATCATGAAACATCTCTGAGTCGGTTTCTTCATCTGTGATTGAGGATAAGATCTTGCCCTAGTTACCTTTTATGATTGTTACAATAATAAGAAAATGGATACGAAACTCTATAAAAGTGAAAGGCATCTGCAATCAAAAGCTGCTATTGCTATTGTTCTCTCCTTTTCACATTAAAGAAGTGGATTTTAGAGCTGTTTCATTTTGCCTCCCAATCAGTGGAACACGCCTATGTCTATATCTGTGTGTATAGATCTATGTCATCTATGTCTATATCTATAGCATCTTTATCCATATAATCTAGCCAGAATATAGTTGGTGAGGGGGAATGAATGGTTACAGATTCATATATATCACCTACTAATTACCAGGCCATTGAATTAGCCAAATCGATACAGAGATAAGAAAGATATAATCTATATCTTAAGACCGCTGTGTAGATATATTTTATAATACAAACCCACATAAGAGACATAAAAGCAGAGTGCTGTGGGAGCACACAGTAGTGCAGAGCCAAGAGGTAATGTTTGAGTTGAGGATGTCAAAGGGTGAATAGAAATTTGCCCTGTGGAGGGCGTGGGGAAGGGCATTCTAGAAGAGTGGACTGCATGTCTAATAACTTTAAGCACCCCCCCCCCCGAATTAGGTTTATATTGTAATGAGAAAACCAATGCAGTAGCTGGAAAGACCTCCTGTCATTTCAACTCGCATTGTTGAGCATTTGACTGTGCAGCCTACAGCATGGGCCACTTACCTTAAGTATGATCTTGGCTTTCTGGGGCCATTTGTGATTAACAAACATTCCAAGGGAAACAGGGACAACGAGAGCCACCAAAGACGTACCTAAAAATGACAGAAGAGCAATTAGATCAATAGGACACCGCACTGGGAAAGAAGAAAACAAAAGAGTAAACAGCCTGAGAAAGATTTAGGTAATATATCAGTCTCCCTTCTTGAGTACACAACCAGAAAAACTCCCACTTTTCTTCTTTATCCATTTCAGTAAATAATTTCATATTACTGGAAAGTATTGATAATATTGATATAAATCCTTTCCCTAAGTCCTAGGTTAATATTTTAGAGTTCCTTTTACTGCCAAACACTGTATTTTTAGTTTCAAGTTGTCAGAATCTTGCCTTACTTGGTGTTTGGATCTTTATATTCTGGGAAAATACCTTTTCAAAATGTGTGTGTGTATTTTCTTGGAGAGACATAGATGATATTTTACATCTGTCTGTTACTTCATGGCACTAAAAATAAAAGGAAAAGTTCGAACTTCTCCAGGCTTTGGGTGGGCTAATGACTTCTGATTAAGACTGACTTCACTTACTCAAATCTATAGACGAGAGGTGAGAGAATAGGTCGAAAAGCATATTTTAAACTTTCTGTGAGATAATATGCTTGGTAACCTCTCAGATAATTATAATTCTTTGCAGGAACATGCTCACCCAGCCAAATAAAAAAGTCTACTTCACTTTCACTAGTTAAATTTACTGCCGTTCCTGGACATGTGGTTTGTTTCTCCGTATTATTTAACAGTCATTTATTCAGCAGCTGCTTTTATATAATATAGCATCAACAACTTCTAACTTCTCATGGGCTGTTTCTTTTTCAAACATCCTTTTAAATCAGTAAGAGAAAGTGGAATTGAGTAATGAAATTCTGAAAGCAGATGTTGCTTAGTATTAAAGTAGATTGAACGAGGACTGGAAGACAGATTCTAGATTGCAGGTCTGTAAATATGAACTTAAAATGAATATAATAATGATAAAAACATAGTTTTTTGTAGCCTTCTGGCGGCTAAGGGTACCAAAAGCGGGGAGGGGGGGGGATGAAGATGAAAAAGATGGCAAGTAGACTAAGGAGAAAATGGAACAATGGATATGTAACAGGGTCAGAAAAATCCCCATTGGGTGTCCTGACATCCTGCGACTTTGGGAGGAGACTTCCACCCCTGGGTCCCCAGACTGTTCCCTAAATTGTGTCAAGTTTGTAGGCCTTGATGGAAACATCTGAATATGAACTGATTGTACTGTGGTAGCTTAAATCTAGGTGCAAACACCGTGCTCAGCACGTGTGTGGTCAGGGTTTGGTAAGCATTTCTTCCTGTTGGCCTGTGAAAGGCAGCCCACTCCTGTGCCTGACCCGGCCCGCCGAGGCCAAAGCTACTGAGTAAGGAGGTGAGCAGGGCCACCTGCCGAGCTCCCCTCCTGGCCGCGGGAAGCCGGACGAAGGTTTCCCAGGGCGTGCGGTTGACTGGGAAAGGCACCTTTCACCCTTCACTCCAAGCGCGGCTCCCGCCTGGAAGGTGGGCCGTTGGAACTCTGCTCCTCAGCGTGCCGGGCCCCCGTCCCCTCCCAGGCTCCGTCTGGTTTCCTGCTTCCTCACAGGCCTGTGCCTTCTGTCAAGTGCCTGTCTCTTCATCTGCTTACAGTCACGCTCTGAATCATAACTTGGTCTTCCATCAGGTTTGCACAGCGGGTGCAGGAGGGAGGAAAGGAGAATGGCACAGAGTGGTGGTGGAGTGTGGTGGAACCTGGAGCCGGAGAGCCTGGGAGCTCAACCTCACTCACAAACTTGTGGGAACTGTGCCACTCGGTGAAGCACCACGAGCCTGGCTTTCCCGGTTTGTGCAATGGGTAAAATTCGGTCCATCTCAGTGTTGTTGTGAGAATCAGGTGGTGAAATAAATACACAGTGTGCGGTTACTGGGTACTCTCAGATGCAGGGTAGAGAGGAGCAGAAGGGCCTGCTGTGGTGTTTCCAGTGGTGTCAGCTTAGAGCTCCTCCTCCCATACGGATGTCATCGTCTGAAGGGGCTCGGTGGCGGGTGGTTTTTGAACCCTCAGAGCATGGCGAGCATGTGTGGAACCTGCAGAACAGTCTTGCCCACAGAGCAGAGTGGAGAGTGGACTGGGGGGGCTATTTCCAGATCCCTGGTCATCTTGGACAAGTGAAACGGTTACCCTGAGCCTTAACTTCCTCATCTAAAAAGTAGTCATAACATCTTTTCAAGTAGCTAGGTTGTTTGTTTTCTACATTAAAGGATTAGAAAAACCAATAGCAAGAAGGTTAGGTTGGAAATAGGCTTAGCAGAATGGAGAGTAAGCAGAGTTAATATCTGTGTTTTTCAAACTCTCATTTAAGTTTTTCTATCTTTTCTCTTATTTTCTATATTCTTCCATTTTCTGTGTTTTACTTCTTCTTTGATGACCCTTTCCTCCATTCCCAATTACTCTTTCTCACTTTCTCTTCCTTTCAAAATTTACTTACATTAAAGGATGTGATATGAGTCATTCACACCATAGTCAGAATTACTCATATTGCTCTCTGGCATTTCCCAGGAGGAAATGCAACCAAGAGAATATTGTAAGGCTTAAATTTTTTCTTAAATAATGAGTAATATAGAATGAAAGCTCTTCATTCTACAGACAGGTCCTTTGAGAGGACTACAATGTATACCACTCAAGCAAACTTCATTCTTTAACTCTAAGGAAGGTGTCCTCCAAGGGAGCAGGCTGAGAGCTCAGTGGCATGAGCATAGGTGGGTGGCTATGGAGGGTCATTCTAAAACATGTTTGTAGCAGGAGATTATGTCTGATATGGAAGAGTCCCCAAGGGATCAGTAGAAGGACCTGTATACCGAAATCCCATACTGAACATGGTGTGTCAAGGAGGACCACTTAAAAATTAAAAAAAATTTTTTTTGGTCTAATGGCCATGGTAGAAATGGGGAGAGAGAAGAGATTACTTGAAAATATTGCAATACAGATTGTCTCCAATTAGTATTTCCAAAATTTGTTCTAAATCAGTTGTGTAGACCATGAATCGTTTTTTATCACAGAAAGCAACCTTCCTTAGAAACGGAAGGAATTTTAGGTGCCATCCAGTCCAGCTTCCCATGACAACAGGAACTCCTTCTGCAAACATCTTGCTGCGTCACAATTTGGTCTTTGCTTACATGCTCCCTTCAATGGGACACCTACATACCTCTTTGAGGCAGCCCATCATGGAGAAATTTGTCTCCTAGGTCAGCTGAAAATTGACTATTTAGCATGTAATGTACTTGGTGACTGGTACTGAGGTACTATTTCACCTACATTTCATCTTTTATGATGATAGTTCTATGAGAAATGCCTGGTGTTGATAGACCTGGAACCACCTTGTTCTTAACACCATGCTACATCAACAACTTAGTCTTCCACCATCATATATTGTCCCAGAAACAGAAAAAATCTCCTCTGAGATGAGGGTGAGTATCTGGGAGTTGAAATGAGGAGAGACAGCAACTTTGACTTCTGCGGCACGTAACACAGATTGTGCCAGTAAATCAACTTTTGAATGAAGATGTGGCTCACAGTTAAGTGTTATAAACAATGTGTCTTATCTGGTAGTTTCCTATTGCCACACTCGTGATTGCTTACTGGATGCCCTATTTTTAAATCATTAGTGAACTGTTTTTTGTATTTCTTCAACCTAAGTGTCTGGGAGCAAACCCTTGTTATGAACTAGTTGCACTGTGGGTTAAGGAAAGTATAGCAACTTGTCCTTCTCAGGTCTAGATAGCTGTGCCAGGGGACCCTTTCAGTTGGCCCCTCTCCCTGGTGATTTCAATGGAGGAAAAAACAGGTTCTCCCAAGGTGTCAAGGTTTGGAATTTAGATTCTGCCAACTCTAATTCAAAAAGCAGGGGTGGCTTTTAATGAAATCCTAATTTGGCACAAATTGCAGCTGGTGCAAGAGGTATATACTAGCTGGGTCTGAGCCTGGCCTGAGAACCTAGCCCGGATGAGCAGAGAGTAGGAAAATAATATTCAGAAATCTTGTAGAGGAATGACTTACCTATGTTATCATAGGGAATTATGATCGTCCCCGAGTCGACCCACATTTTGGTATAGATTAAGAGGCACAGCGGCATCATTCCCAGGGCCAGCAGCGTGGAGCATGTGGTCATGCTGACGCTGAAAGGAAACGGGCAGGTTGATACATCCACCTGAATTTTCTAGGGGAGAGGTTCTTTCATTTTCCAATTCATGATTAGATAAACCTACAAGAGACTGTCTCAACCAGCAGCACCATCTAGTGTGATGGACAGAGATATACATGCACTCCAGGTTGTGCAGGGTCCAGCCTTGGGCAAAATTATGAGATCAGTATTTGGTGTCTTCCTACTTTGTCTCGCACCATCCCTCCCTCCCTGTTGGTTCTCAAGAATCAGATAAGATATTTAATAGCCATTTAAACTCATTATTAAACAAGATCTGAGGTGCTTGGACATGCTACCCTTGAACTTTCAATCAGAGAACAGCAAACATATTTATTCAGAAGAGACATCAGGGTCTTCACCATGTCTGCCTGTGTTGGGATGAGATGGGCCTCCTTGGGCCTCCCTGGGCCCTTAGAGGAGAATGCATGTCCAAGAGTATTTCTTTAAAGAGAAAAATTATAACCCCGAGGGCTCACATCTTAAGGAAAGAAGAGAAGCTGATCCCCCCACCAAACAAACAAAACATACAAGCAGACAGGGTAGGCCTAGATTCTATTTCTGCTAAGAAATTGCCAAATGTGTGTTCAGAAGAACCAGGGTCTAGTACATGCCTCCTGAGAGCATCTGTGTTTTAGTGGGTGGAATTGGCTAAGTGAGTGGATTTTGACTTTTGACATGTAAGGATTAATATGGAATGATGTTATTTTCAGCACTGTGACAGTGGGTGGAAAAGAGGCCTTTGGGTAATGGGTTTTCCTGCTCCCACCAAAGTGTCCTGCTCAGGGACCAGAGCTGTAAATAGCTGGGCCAGACACTAAAGCCAGACACTGCCCGGGCTGGAAGCAGGCATGGCCAGTACTACGTGACTGTGGGTAATTTACTGTACTCCTCTTTGCCCATTTCCTTATCTCTAATATGAAGATCATAATCACTGCCACGTCACAGACTACGGGGACTGACTGAGCCAGGAGCCCGGAACTTAGAATAATGCAAGGTGCTCATTGGAAGCTAGTTGGTGTTATTATATATCCAGCCCTAGTGTGTGCTCTGTTGCAGCATAATTCCAAATCAGAAAATCAGAGATATTTCTCTGAAAGGCCCTTTCTCCAGTAGCTGTAGCACTGAGCCTATCAGAGTAATAATTTCTTAAAAGCATTATATGTAGACTCAGAGGAAGATGCTAAATTATTTACACCACCTGCCTCCCCACAAAAAAGAACAACAAATACAACCACCTTATACAATGCTAAGGAAACAGTTGGAGGTGAAGAATTTTGTTTCAATGCTTCTAACTTACCACAGTTTTGGTAAAATAAAGTGTGGGGGCAATGTTTGTCAGGGGGCTTAACTTCCCTAATAACCATTATTAAAAACCCAGGAATGACCTCATTTAAAATTTGCTTGAAAGAATTTAGGAAAAATACTTGTCTTAGTAAAGTTAAAATAGTGTAACAGTAATCAATGCTAGAGTGTATGTAAACTACTTCTAAGAAGTTAAATTGAATATAGTGACATGTTAATTTAATTTAGATACAAAACAGGTTGCTAAGGCAGTGTCCTAAAGAACAATAAATTAGTTCATTATAAACTGTACTTTTTCTACTTAAAGTTGAAGTTATGGGGTTTGTTAAAGATTTTTCCCCTCACTCCCTACCCTTCTCACTTTCTATGCCATTCTCTTTTTTTATCTTCTTTTTAAAAACTAAATTAGGATGGATTTAAGGTTATCCCATAATTAAATTGCTTCGATTCCAGTGCATTCCATGTGCTTTCTCGAGCAGAGAGGACGAGAGGCGGCAGGCGGTGGTGGAGGAAGGCGGTGTTCGTTACCTGGATCACGGGAGAGAAGCCCGAGAAGTGTTTGTTTTAAACTATGAGAACAGCTTTTAGAAGGAAGTCTGTTTCTCTCCTTGTTTTTCTTTTAAATTTCCTTGTGAAAGCTTTAATGCTGAGTTATTGCTAAGACAATTTATGAAGTTGTATGATGGTTTTGAATTTGGCAAGAGCAGTTTCTTAAAGGCCACAGGAGGGATAAGATGGGAGCTGGGGAAGGAAATGATTTAGCTTTAGTGGGACATCTAGACAGGGAGGTGCTGCCAGGAGACAAGAGGAGAGAGAGGTGGCTGGAAGTCGATGCCATAGGAACTAATATGAGAACACCATCAAACCACTCAAAATGAGGTGAAAAACAATTCACAGATAATTTTAAGAGGCAATGTAGGGAAATTCATTAGTAAAAGAAAAATACTTTACAAGAAAGAAAATGAAGTCCTATAAAGAGCATAGTTGTCAACAGTAGAAATACTGCCATGAATTTATATTGGAATGAGAGAAAATGTAAGAAAAGAAAAAAAAAGTCTCTAGTCTTTAATTCTTGGCTTTAGTTCTATTCACCACCAGGGAGAATTATTTTTCTTTATGAAAATAAAAGCAATAAATGAAAATTCAGTGAATGTTGAGGAATTGGTGAAGTAGGTGATAAGAAATGCAAAAGATTGTAGTTATATTAGAAGTGAAACACCAAGTTTTAAAGATCAAAAGGAGTATGTATAAATGGTGCTAGAGAGTAGAGACGTGATAAGTTATATAAATAATGTTCAGCAAAGGATTAGAGTCTGGACAGGGATAAGTGGGTGGATCTGGATTCGAATTCTGACTCTGACATATAGTGTCTTCCTGACCTTGGTCAAGGTTATGAGCCTTAACTTTATCATCTATCAGATGCAGAGGATAATATAGTACTGACCTTGGAAGATTATTTTGAGGATTAAATACACCAATGCATTTAGAGTACCTGAACTGTGTGTGCCTAACAAATATTAGCTAGTAAAGTAAAAATAGATGCTGCATGAGAGAAACAAAGCTTGGTTACTTTGAGGAAAAAGAAAAGACAAAAGGAATAGTGTTGGGTTGGTTCTTAGAGAAAGGCTGGATGTTTATGTGGTTGAAATGGGGGGGATTGCTTTAAATTTATGATAAACTGAAGGGACAGGGATCTTGAACAACTACAACAACAGGAAGATGAACAGTGTGACAGTGTTTTGGCCACAGAACAAAGGATGTGGTAGGAAAGTCTAGAAACTTTTAAACCTAGAAAATAATATAAGGGAGTGTAGAAAGTACACAGTAGTGGGAAAAAATGGGGGAAACTGAAGAAAGGATGTAAAAGGAAAGCGAGAAGGAAAAGGCCTCGCATGATACAGCTGAGGCCGTTGCTAAGAAAGGGGAGATTCGAAAACAGGGCATCTCCGGGGCTAGAACAGACACAGAAGGCGGGATGTCTCGGTGGGCCCTGAACTGTGGCCCTGGGGCTCGGCAGATACACCGGAAAACGTCACCTTGGTTCTCCCTGAAACGATTTGCGCCTAATACACCCACTGCATGGGTAGAACAGGTGAAAATACCTGCGCACTGGTCAGGTTCCCGCACTTTCTCGGCTGGAGCGGAGGTGAAGGAGTGAGAGGAGGAGCTGAGCTGCCAAGGATTTAATGAGGAAGGCCTGTTATTTTGGTTAGTTTGTGTGTGTGCATATTTTGTTGTTACTGTGTGTGTGGTTTTTCTTTCTTTTCGTCACTGGAGATTTCAAAACGCGATGGTTTCCCAGGTTTGGAAGAGATGATAGGGCGAGGGAAAGACGACCTGGTTTCTTCTCCCAGGAACCACACCCAGGAAAGCCTGGCTGGCCCAGTGTGGTTCCTGTCCGACCAGTGCAGGGACCTGTTGGCGTAAACCTTCATAGGACCGCCGCTGCCAGGGTTCAGGTGGGCGTGGGGAAGGGGAAGTTCCCAGAGGACAGAATTAGACATGTACATGGCAGATAGGAATGTATCTAAATAAATTACCAGGAGACTTTGGTGATCCAGGGCTCGCTTCAGAAGAATGAAAAGTGTTGGAAAACTGTTCCCCGATAGCTGACGTATCGCTCTCTTAATTGGCCTTAAAGAAATATTTGAAGAGATTTCCCCTAACGTATGCAATGTGTAATGTCACCACCTTACACAGCAACATAACTTAACCTCCTGCAGTCATTATGGGTCACTGTGATAAATATTATTTGCTACTCTGAAATACATGTCTTGTGGGTGATTGTGTTTGTCCCTAAAATAAGCAAAGCAGAGGCTGCTGTGCTTGGTGAGTTATCGCCTTTACTTTGGAGGCATGATCATTTTTTTCTCTTGAGGTCAAACTTTGGGGGCCACTTGCTGCTGTGAGACTCAGTCCTGCCTCTCTCCCCTGCCTCCCCACTTCTCGTTTCTCCTCCTCTGGGCTGGGAAATGGCACACTGGAGCGTTAGAATTTTGACAGTAAGTAGGTCCTATGTGAGGAATGTTTATGAGATTAAGTAGGATTTATTTTGGGCGTGCAAAGTCTTTTCCTGGGTCTTGTTTGAGGTGAAATTGCTGGAGAGGTTACGGGACTGGAGAGGTGTTGGTGTTGTTTTGAAAACAAAGGGGATCTATGGAGTGCACACTTTCTAGAATGAAAATTAAAATTTTCAATGCCATCCCTCCCAATATAGGGATTATTCTGACTTGCTGAAGGATAAGTTTTCAAATTCTGCTTTTTTTTTTTTTGGTTCTTTTTTCTTAATATTATTGTTTCTTACAGGAATTGTTATACAGTGTAGACTAGATTATAAATCATCTCCTCTATCAATAGAAAGAAGATTTCCTTAAAAGCAAAGAAAAGTGTAACTTAGAGCTTTTAGTTTAGGGTTTTACTCTTTTAGCTAGTAGAAGAGAATCTGTTTCAACAGCCAAACAAACCCAGCATCACATATCCTCTCTATCTTACAAAATGATTACCTTTCTATCTTACAAAAATGATTGCCTGTGTGGCATTGTGTTGAGGTACAAGACTCTTCTCTTTTGTTAAAAAGTTACAAATATAGCTGACCCTTGAACAACTGTACAGTAGAAAATCCACCTATAGCTTTTGACTCCCCAAAAACTTAACTTCTAATGGCCAGAAGCTAACTACTGTTGACTGGAAGCCTCACCGATAGCACAAACAGTTGATTAACACCTATTTTGTACGTTATATGTATTACATACTGTATTATTACAATAAAGTAAGCTAAAGAAAAATGTTATTAAGAAAATCATAAAGAAGAGAAAATATATTTATAGTACTTACTGAAAAAAATCCACATGTAAGTAGCCTCACAGTTCAAGTGCAAGTTATTCAAGGGTCAACAAGTGTTATGTCAAAGCTGTTTAGTGGAAGTTAAAGCCCCATATTCAATTTAGTTCACTCTCTTCAACCAGCTTTTAAAATTCTCTCCTCTGAGTGCCTATGTCCACGTCAAACCAAGTTGAAGTCTAAAAAGACCTTATTGCTATTCGGTGGTTCGTAAATTAACTAAATCCAAGCAGCACTTGCCATCCTTTGTTTTTTACAGGACTTTTCTTTTAAAAACAAATCTTTTGCAAGGAAGATACAGTATTTCCTTATGTGAAAAGTATATACTGTGAAGGTATATAGTTTGTATGGTTTTTCTAAAGCTCATGGTGAAATGGACACCAGCTGAGATGTGGCCTGGCTCCCAGTTGCTCACTAGGCACTGGATCAACCTGGGATAGTTTTACATTTTGCAACAGTTACATTTCTACACATTGAGCTTCTTTCTTCTGAGTATAGTATCTGGTGATGAACAGAGCTGATTGCCTGTTGTATGGTGTTTAATAAGCACACATTACATTAACACCTGGCTGTTTTTCAGAAATGCATACCTTTCACAGGAAATAAGGGATTGTGAGGTAGGGAAAAAGACATTTGTCTATTCAACTTGCAGCATTAAAATTCTCAGTCTCATCACATTAATGTTTCGTCTTATTTCTATTAGCTTTTTTTTCTTTCCTACTGCTAGTTCAGACTGGTGCAGGATGAACTGGGAAAACATTACAATGTAGATTACTCTCTGGGAAACAGAGAAAACTTTTTCTGTTTATTTTATAGTAAGGTAAGCATAATTTTTTTAAAAAAGAAGCTGCTGTAGGGTTTTTTTTTTTCTTTTAATACCAGCAGAAGTAAAACAAATGTACAAATTATTTCTTAGTCTTTATGCCAAGAAAAAGTGTGTCCAAAGAACTAGGTGTATTTGGTGAAGTTAACTATTGTCTCATCATAGGTTGTAATGTTTAATGAACAATTTGATTTCATAATGGCACTCAGAGCTCCTCATCACCCCAAAGAACATTTTTTCTTTTTTCTTTTCTTTCTGATACCGACAAGGAAAACTTTCTCAGCTGCAGCTTGTGGGGCTTGGAAAAGATTTCTTTTTTTTGAAAAACTTTGACTCTTTTCCCAAAGATAAATATCAATTATCCAATGCTCTGTTAACTGAGTTAGATTAAAAAAGCACAAACACAAATATAACCTACAAATTCCACTCTGTAATCTCAGCTGTGCAGGAAGGTGAGTAAATGCATTTATTCTCTTCTGTTTAATTCCCCAGTTGTACCCGAGTTTAGTGACAGAACAGATGGATATTCCCACTGCCATAAGCTTCTGGAAGATTAATTCAAAGTGATTGCAGTATACAGAAGTTTAGATATCTTACCTCAGGTCCATGTCGCCATCGACCCAATAGGCCAAAATATTGGAGGCAGTTCCTCCGGGACAGCATCCCATGATCAGCACCACGACGGCCTGGATGGGGAGGATGTCAAAGGCCACTGACAGGATGAATCCCACGAGGGGCATGATTCCAAACTGACAGAGGAAGCCAATACATATGCCCCACGGCCGCTTTATGTGCCCCAGGAATTTCTTGATTTCCACATTGCATCCCATGGAGAACATCACCAAAGCCAATAGAATGGTCAGGACGGTGCTCAGGACCACACTTAGAACGGCATTGAAATTGCTGACAGGTACCACGCAGGATGAACCGTTGCAAACTGTTGCGGTGGCCAAACAGCTCGTCGAATTATTCATTGCTGGGGCCTGGCTCGGATGGTCACAGACATCCACAGAAACACCAATCCTCCGCTCCTCGCTGGGTAAGTAATGCCTGCTGCAATCACGCCAAACTTTTAAACCCTTTCTAAACGTGTCATTTGGTGTCTCTTTCAAAAGCTACCTCAGAGAGGCAATAAAAAACAATAAATGCCAGTATGTCAGTTTCGAGAGGTAACATTACAACACAGGACATACTGTGAATCATAAAAGTCCTGCCAAATTATTGGTCCAGACAGAGAATTGTAATTAATCATTTATTGGCATGGTAATGAACCGTGCTATATAAAGAGAGCTGTGTTAATGTTTAATGCTGGGAAGGTTTGTTAAATAATTTCAGTTAAGTGACATTCAGATATTACAGAACATTGGAAGGCTTAAGCCATAGGAAAGCATGTTATTTACTCATCTCCTTTTAGTAAAGGGGGATGGGGGTGGGTCCTAAGAAGTTGAGTACCCTGTGCCAAGTTAAATTATAGTGTCTGAAATGGAACTGAAACAGAGACCTCCAATTTCCTCCCCCAATAGTTTTCTCACTGTATCAATCTGTCTGTTCCTATTGGTCGGAAATGTTTATAAAGAGCATGTAAGTTCAAGAAACTTGTAGGGCCTTGATGCAAACCTATGGGAGGGTAACCTGTGGGAGGAGAGAATGTTTTCTGTATTGTCTGATGGGAGGACAGCGGACCAGGAGAGCCACCCTCAATTACTCACACGTCCAATTATGTATGCGTTGCCATAGTAACAAAGTGCTTTAGAGATCGTGACAACGCAATTATTTAGAGGGATGAACCTCAGAGGATTAGGTCAAAGTGACAGTAGCTCTTTGGAGTCAGGAATTGAAATTACATTTTTTTTTTTTTTTTAAGAGGGAGACAGTTGGAGGTTTCAGGGGAAGTTGATTTTTGTAAATGTCAAATAGTCAACCTCACTATGGGCAGAACACTGCATTTGGTGTATAGGAAAGATAAAAAAGAGGTAGGGGAGGAATTGCTCCTGTTCTCAGGAGTTTTTGATATAACCAGTTAGTGAGGATGCAACATAAGAATAAAATTGAATATTTTGATCATGATTCACAACTTATAGGACAAATTCTAATTTATTACCCAATTTAATCATCTTAAATTAAGTGGATTTAGCATCTTCATTTTACAAGTGGACTTGTAAACCCGAGGACTTGAGGGTTGAAGAAATGCAGTATTTTATTCAAGGTTATCCAGCTGATGACTGGAAATACTGAAACTCAGTGTGGCTTGGTGGAGATTTAGGGAAATAGCTTAGAATAGAGTTTCTCGAAACTCAGTGTGCTCATGAATCCCCTGGGGGTCTTGTTAAAATGCAGATTTTGATCCTGGAAGTCTGGGTTGGGCCCCAGATGTCTGCATTTCTGACAAGTACAGAGTTGAGGGTGAGAGTGCTACTTCAGGGGCCACACTTTGAGTATCCAGGCTTTAGAATACCAATGTGAGGGTGAAGACAGCTATCCAGACTGGTGACAATTGTATTTACTGCTCACAGTGAAAGCAGCATTTATAGAACAACTCCATATGGAAAATTAACCTTTTGCATAACTTGAGTAGACATGAGCTGTTAGCAGTGAAGTGGGCCACCAAGCAGAGGCATGGATGGAGTCAAACGCCTGAGCTGCTGGGTGCCTAGGGATGATGTCCCTCCAATCTGGGATTGAGCTGCTGCAAAAACCCTGAGCCATCCATCCTCTTGGAGGTAACAGTGATTCACACTCATTGCTGGTGCAGTTCCTGCCCCAGGAGTGTTCTTTCTCAGCTGTCAGGCTCTACCTCCTGCTTTATCTTGCCTGGGTGGGCTGCCATTAGCTCTGCCTGGCTGGCTGCCAGTTCCTGGGAGATCCTCCTCTCTCCCCCATCACCCTTTTCCACTCCCACAGCTATATGATTAGGTAGGTAATTCCCAGAAGGCCTCCCCTCCCACTTTGGGGTGTGGAATGGCTTGGCCCTGTCTTGCTGGCCCCCTCCCAGTATCTCCTGGGACTGACCTCTGACCCACTTCTTGGCTCAAGTGCCAGCGGGCCTTGGGTCAACAAGCCAAAAGCGCCCCCTGCTGCTGCACCTGGACATCTGGATCAGTGCTGGCTTTTCTCCCCAAAGCCTGGGTGAGGACAAGTGCAGAACTGCAGAACCCGGAGCCCGACACATCTGTAGTATTGATCAGCTTTCAAAGCAGCTGCCCTGCTCTAACCTCAGACATAACTGAGAGTCCAAAAGCTGACCCAGGACCTACCCACAAACAGGCCAGGTCCAGTCTGCAAAGGGAAATTTGAGTCTTGTAGGTTACAGGGAACAATTTGAATTTTCCCCAGGGTGGGCTTCAGGTTCTGGCCATGCTTGGGGTTTCCAGGTGAAATCCATACTTAGCTGTTTGTCCACAAGGCTGGAGGCAGAGAGGAGAAAGTGAAGAGAGCAGATAGGGTTCAGAACAAAGCTCTTCTCAGATTTCAGAAGACTTGCTAAGGAGATTTGGGGCTCCCAGGAGCAGAATGCTTTGCATATAGACAACTTGTAAATGAGCAGTCTGTTTGACTAGACAGAGCGCTATAGTTCTGCTTAAAAAAGGTGCCAATGCATTTCTAATTTTCACATTGTTTTTACATAAATTTGCACATTAGGCACGAGAGGCCTTATATTCAAGTATTGGAGTGATTCACAATTAACTAGTACCCTTAACTTCAACTACATGAAAATTCAGGCATCAGACCAGGATAAATGGAAAATATCTGAATGTTAAAACCATCCTCTTTAATTACAACACAGAATCGGGGAACAGATGCACACCTGAGTGGGCAGAAGGTTGGGGCTTGATTTCCATTGTCATCTTTCTCAATCTTTTCTGCTCAGTTTTGTCACACACCAGACTCAGGTACAGGCTATCTTCAAGGAGCCCACGGCAAATTCCTGCTCCTGGTCTCCTGGGTGGAGACACAGCAGGTTGTGGGTCAATTTGACCTCTCAGGCTTCCATTTGGCTTTTGTGTATGGCTTTGGAGAAGTAAGGGTTTAATAGCTTTCCAAAGTGTTTGCCCCGAAGCTCACATGATGAAAGAAGAGCTTTCTATTTCCTAGTGTGTGTCACTGGGGATCATTATATTCAAATCAGTAGTCATTTGGGATTTGTGTGATTCTGCTGAACAGTTCCCTGTGACTAAAATGATCTCCTCTTCTTTCCCATTCCTTTCTATGGACTGAAGTTTTATGGAACCTGAAAGTACCACAATTAGAGTTATTTGAAGTCTCCACTGACCCTCTTTGAGACAAAAATACCTGGGGAGAAGAGCCCATGAATGACTAACTAGCTGTCCATTTGCTGTAGGCAGTGGGAACGGGACCAGGTATTAGCCTGGGGAAAGGCACAGGGAGCCTCTAGAGCAGGGGTGGGGAACCTCTTACCTTCCAAGGGCCATTTGGATATTTCTAACATTCGAAGGCCATATAAAATTATCTACTTAAAAATTAGCCTGCTATATTTGGTCAAACATTTAATTAACTCACCCCTAATGTGATGGCTGGAACTGTTTCTCTTTATTGAGGCCTTGACAGGGCCAGACCAAATGATTTCAGCCTGTGGTCCAGATGTTCTCCACCCTTGCTCTAGAGAAAGAGTGAGTGTGCATGGGGTCCTTTGTCTTAAGGGCTTTTCTCTGGAGGTCTCTGGGGAGGATCTCAATAGAACATTCATCAGCTTTCTAGATGTGCCTCCTCAGTCATGGTCTCCACTGACTGGTTGACACCAGGGCAGGGGGTCATTAGTCATGTAGCTGGTCCTGTTGTCAGCCAAGGTGTTGCCTGGCCTGGCCTTGCTGCAATTCTGGGCCTGTAGCTGAAACAAAATTGAGGCCTAGATGTTATCTCTTGTTTGACAAAAACTCTGTTTTTGTGGTCAACAGACCCAAGGCTTTGTTCCTAAAATTATTTAATGTGGGTCAGAGCCTCGTTGTCTTGAGGGCTTAATGCATAAGGGAGTGGTTGTGCAAGGGCTTGTATGGGAGTAATATACGGCTTTTCCCTGGCCCCTTGTTCCTCCTCTACTGAATGACTAGTGACATCCCAGGGGAAGAAAGGTTTGAGGAGGGTGTGAACCACATGACCAGAGATATGAAAAGTCAGGGGCTCTAAACCGAGTGACCAGTGATATGCTAGGGGAGGAAAGGTCCCTGGAAGTGAGATCCCACCCTACAATACTTGTTCTCCCAGTTCTGCCCATTCCTAGGAACCTGGGGCTTTCCACCCTGTTGACCTTCTGTACCTGGCTTATCATTTCTACTCTACTTATGTCTGTCTAATTGCCTACTATATCAATAGTAACCCCATTAATAATAGGGCTAAACTGGAAACTATCCAAATGTCCATCAAGAATAGAATGGATAAATATATTGTGATCTAGTCACACAGTGTAATTCTATACATCAGTTAGGATGAATGATCTATGACGACAAAGTTAATGTTGAGTGAAAGAAGCCAGACACACAAGAGCACATACAAAAACAGGCAAAGTTAATCTATGGCATTGGAAGTCGGGATGGTCTTTATTCTTGGAGTATAGGAGAGCAGAGACTGAAAGGGTCACAAGTATGCCATATTTCAATATAAAGTTCTTTTTAAAAAACCCACTTCTGTTCTGGTAAGAACAGAAAGAGCGAAGATATATATCCTGGCCTAGGAAAGGCAAGAGACAGAGAGATAACCTTAGACTTGAGGAGATGTCCTGGGAGAAATAGCAGGAGGTAGAAGTGGGAGTTATCGGGGGAGAAGAACCAGAGGGATGTGGGAGGTGGATGTTTTGACACCATCATTTTAACAAAGATTGGCTCTATTACTCACCCTGTAGCTTAGTAATTTTGTTGAAAATCAAACATTTGTAAATGTCTAAAAGCATTAATCCCTGTAAATCTTTAATAAGGCACATTTTGGTTAATCATTTTTAGGTAAACATTCAAGTGAATCCTTAAAGAAGCCAATGTTTGTGTCCTTTTTGG